TAGATGACTTACATCCCTTACACCCCTCTACCCACCTTCCTCTTCTCTCAGTTCTAGCCTAGGTGCTTGCTCTTCACAACTAACAAGCTTTTATTTCTCCATATTGTGGCTGTTTTGTAATAGCATGAACATGTATGAGAATTGACAGAATTAAAAATTAGATACCTTTAGCAGCCGTACCTGCCGTCTTATTTTTTTCTTTTTTTCTTTTTTTCTTTTTTTTTTTTTTTTTTAATGGAAGGTGCCTGACAAATTGAGCAGCCTTACTAGAACAAGGTCAGACCCATATCACTTTCACTGGAGTTTTGATTTCATTCTATGTTACCCTCTTCACTTCTGGAATGACTCTGTCTTTCAAATTGGCTTATGACTACTGTACATGTATGACTGCCATTGCAATATAAATAGTTTCCATATTTACATTTCAATTTAGTGTTACAGGTTAAGGTGACTGCATCAACATCTGTGCATTTAATCTTGACACCTTCATCAAAGGATTCATTTGCAAGGGGAGATTTTTTTTTCATATATGTCCTTGTTTTGGCCAGGACTGAACTGAAGTTCAATCGATAGCTTCAGTGGGTTTAAGGTTATAATAACTAGATTACTAATAGGCTAAATATAATCTCTGGTGCCACTGTCATTAGAACAGCCCCAGCCTTTTCAGACTGCTACTAAGTGTTCTGAAGAGCACTTAGCAATAGATATGTCCCCTGAGTTCAATTGTTCATGATGATGATAAGGAATGACCCTCTCCACAGCTTGGGCATGCCAAGTGTCATTCAGGAAGATAGCGGGATACACATCTGCTTTGACAGGCTGGCCTGCCTTGTGCAAATGCTCTTGGTTTAGCGACAAAATAGCACAACCCTCGCTGGTTCTTCGTCCCAAGACACTTATGCCCTGCAATGGGCAGAAATCTACTGATGGGCAGCATCTCTCTTTGGGGTTTTCAAGGCATCTGCCATCTTACCCAACAACTTTTATTACCTAATATGTAGCATTTCTCACTCTCAAACCCTTCACAAATGAGATCAGTTCCATTATCTCTAGATGGCAAATTAAGCAAGGGGAGAAGAGGTATTTTGACATCTCCAGGATCATGTTGAAGACCATGACCGAGCAGCAGCCAGAATCTAGCATTTGTTTTGCTGGGAATTTTCTTTCAGATGGGTGACTTCTAGATGAAATGTGGCCATGCAGCAAAATTGACAGTGGCCACCCAGATCTGGGTTACATGTTGATACTTCACATTCATAGACTGTCAAAAAAATTGCTTCTTGAAGTATCAGCTGAGGAAAGGGCCCACAGCCATTCTGTTACAAGCATTTGGCTGCAATGAGGCAGTAAATTCTGCTATGCTTTGCAGTCATATGTGCTGTCAAGGCTTTCTTTATTCACGTGGTCAATAGAGATGTGGGAGAAATGGTCAACAACTTCAGAGGCTTCTACAGAGAGCTCTCCAGCGACAGGCAGCTCTTCTGGGTAAGACACATTGGGGGTCCTGTTGTGAAAAGGATAGTAAAAAACAAAATGTGTGCATTTCCACAAAAGATTTCCATTTTTATTCTTGGAAATTTGGAACATATCTGGTGCTAAGGCAAGCCAGTGTGTGAAAGTGACCACTGAGAGAGTTCCAGGTGGGTATTTGATGCAAGTCACAAATTTCAGCATCTGTTTCTTTTGTAATTTTTAACCAATATAGATTCCTCCTTTTTTCCAGTGTCAGTGACTTTTCCCCTTGCTGTGTCATCAACAGTGCTGTCTTCTAATTTCTGGCAACCAAAATATCATTTAACAGAAACAGAGACATCGGTGAGTACCGAACCACTGTGGATGACACTGGTGGATGTACATTTGTTTGCTCAGCAGATTGGACCAGTGAAGAGTGCTGTGTTCTTGGCTGAAGCTGCTCTCCTGAATGTTCCATGGGCCAAGTGAGAGGGAAAGGTAATGCTTATAGGATCTCAATATAAGAATGCTCATTAATTCAGAGAGATTCCCTGCTCCTGGTTGCCCTCATTTGCACATCTGATCTTGATTTTGGAGTACCTTATACATATGTTTAGCTTCAAAATATCAAATAAAGTACAGACATTGCTGGGTTCTTGGAGACTATGCACATGCTTAATTTTTGCAGGATGGAAAACTGTAGCAACTGCACTGTGCTTAGTGGTGGAACTGGGCAGAACATTTCGGAGTCATTTTGTTGGAGCTCTGGCATTTCTAAAAGAAAATATTTTTGCCTAGTCCTGCTTATTGGATGTTTCTCTGGATGCCCTTCTCTTGATTTCACCTTTCTTACTTGGAGATTTTAATCTGAGATTTTAATCTTTTAGCCACTTCCCTACTGAATATGCTGTTGATCTGAAAACATCCTTGAAAAGTGCAGCTGGCCTCTTTGAAGTGCAGCTGGGGTACCTAGAAAACAGAGACATCCACAGATACCACCGATAGGAACAAAACAAGGGACTGTTAATGGCAATTTATCATCTGGGAAGGTGGAAAACAGCCTGAAAAAATAAAATTGTTCTGAAGGAACAGAAAATTGCATGATCTATGAGTTGTTGCAGGTGAAAAGTAGAAATTAACAGTATCTATTGACTGCTCAATGTCCTACTCCCTCATGTCTCTGTGATATAAAAATGACTTAATTTTTATCCAAAATGGAACCTCTCTCTTTCTGAGAACTTCCCAGTTGAATCCCACATGAACTTTCTATGAGCTGTTGGTCTCTCCCCAGGGACGCCTAGCTGAAAGCAGCATCTGTAATGCAGATCATTTTGGAAGTGAGATTCCGCCTGCTGTTTTATTGGCTCAGTCTGTCCTCCCCTTTTTTGGGGATGGTTGGGTCCCCCTCTGGGATCTGTTTGTTCCCCCCTTTTGGGATGGTTTGGCTTCTTCTGAAATCTGTATCATTCACTTCGTATCGATATTATATAGATACATATAAGTAATCTATCATCAGTATATCTGCTGTTATATTGTGATGTTTGCTTCACTAATGGTAAGCTGTAGTAGTGCGTGTAGTAGTATACAGCTACGTGGCTGCTGCTGTTATTGGTTGTCCTACAATACTGATTGATCCTATTATTGATTGATACTATATTAATGATTGCTGATAGTAATTTGTAATAGTTTGATATATATTCATATTCATTTTATTAATAATTGGCATGTTTGCTAGCAGTGATTTTTGTGGTCATATACCTGCTTGTGGTGATTTTTGTGGTATTTGTGGTAACCTGTATAATTAAGTAGAGAAACTTAGAGGATAAAGCTTCCACGTCCTTGTGTATTACAGAATCCTATAAACCCATGGTTGTGATCTCTCCACACCTATAGGCCAGGTAACTCTTCAGGTTGTGATGGGCAGAAATTGGCCTTTGCTCTGTGGCTTTGAAACTCTTGGTATAGAATCGTAGAATCATAGAATGGTATGGGTTGGAAGGAACCTTAAAGATCTTCTAGTTCCAACCCCCTGCTTGTGAAAGCAATCAGCAGCCTTCAGCTTGCCGAAGTCCAAAAGCATAATATAGCCCAAAAAAGAGGCTCATCAAAAAATTCACAAAGAGACATCTTATATGTTGAAAAGGTTGGTTATATGATGATGATTTCCAGCAAGGGAGAGGGCTGGAGGGAAGGTCACCATTTCAGGTAAGACAGTATTTTTTTTCTTTTTTAATAATCACCCCACCAATATTGCATCCATAATGAAACTAGGTTAAGAAGGATGCTTAATCCTTAATGGTTTTCAGGGGAAAGCGTCAAATGCTCTTGCTTGGGGTGGAGAACCACATTACTTTGGTGTCAGTAATTAATTTTGTGTGCCAAATGTAAACATGCTAGCACTTCATGACACCTCCTCATAAAGAAAAAAAGCATCTGCATGTTATCTCTTTTATGGCATCCATGTGGTTCCCATTATTTAATTTGTTTCGTTTTCTAGTTTCTGTGGAAGTTACTAGTCGACATAGTAAGGAAATCTTCTTGTATTTCCAGTCTAAAGGCAACTGGGCCCTATTGTTTTTAACTGTATTAGAAGAGTACATGTTTTAGTTGGTGTCCAAACTAAAATGGTCTTACAGCTCATTTCAGACAGAAACTTTCCCTGGTGGTGGCTGTTACTTTCTGCTCAGAGATGTCATTTCCTCCTAATATACCCTCTTCATGTGTCTCCCCTCATGCAGAGACGCAAACTAGCCCCTTTTCTGGGGAAGCTGTACAGATTGTCTTGTCCAGCTCTAGCGTCATGTCTGGCAGTGTGACTGATGTCTACTGCTAATAGGAAGCTGTGTCCATAAAGACTGTGCTTTAATCTGTAGGTCTTTGTCTATGATTCGGCCAAGCAGCTGCTTTTTTAAAAAGTCTGAATAATTAGGGGGTTGTTTTAATTTTTTTAATCGCTGCGGGCTTTTCCCCCAAAATAACTGCTTACTGAAAACTAAAAGCTCAGTAATTGAACTGTATATGCTACCATTGTCTGCTAGCAAACGCCTTGGGCCTCCTGTGTTGATCTGTTTGCTGAAATGATCAGTCTTTTTGGGGCAATTCTGTTCAGTATTAAGATCTAAAAGAGCCTGTTCTAAAATAATCTGGTTTTTCCTGAGAGCAGGAGGTGTGACAACAGAGGTGCTTCTCTGAGTTAATTTGAAAGCTGGAAAGTGTGACTTGGTTTTCCCGTTTAATTTCTTACTCCTGCTTGGATAGAGTTTAAAAGGAAGCTGAAAAGGGCTCATCATCAACTACTCACAGCCATGAAATTAGGCACACACACATTTGGCAGTATAACACAGGCTGATGAGGTGGTTTGGGGGGAAGGTTCAGAATATCTGCTGTCTCAACTCCTTGCTTACTTCAGAGAAACAAGGAAAAGATTGACAGACATTCCTCAAGTGACTAGCGTTACTTAATCTTTTTTTCATCATACTGTTTTATTATGCTGTGCCTTTTTATTTTATGTCATCCATGAATCAGGATGCAAACAACTGCCATTCTCCATGGATTTCAGATACATTACTGATATGTTAACAGATGAAGAAGCTTATGGCAAGTCATCTTTCCTTCAAAGCTGTAGTTCGGTACCCTCAATCCTTCTAATCCTGGAGCAGTCTCATCAGTTTTGGTGGGAGTAGCTCACTCAGGAATACACCACCAGCCTGTGAGACTGAGACAGGTTGGAGGGACAACTGTAATGACAAAATCTGGAGGGTGAGGAAAAGTTTTTGTTCAGTGTAATTTGATATTTATGCTTGTTCCCCTCCAGAAATACTCCAAAATGGCCTGCTTGGGAAGAAGGAAAGGAGTGAGCTTAAACAGATCTGTACCTGATGAAAACCATTACTCTGCATCTCTTAGAGAATGTGAAGGGGACTGTGTGACATGAATGAAGCCTGTTGTTTGCTACCATCTTCTCACATGTCCAGGAGTGCAAAGTCAGACATTCATTTTATGCTATGTTGGTGACTTTTTGCCACATAACTTTGTGTCGGGTTAGCAAGGAGGTTGTGCTGTTCTCTGCTTCTTCCAAGGATTTATCTGGTTTGCAGTTCTCTTACAATTAAATAGGCATGGAGAAGAAGGAAGGGCTTATTCAGCAAAATTGTTCTATTTGATTAAAATTATGGTTTCAAGGAAAAAAAAGAAGTCAAAACACCTCCAATCCTTCAGTTTCCCCAAGAACATTTTTTGATGCACTATTTAACAAAATAATCCTCTGTTGACTAAAACACAGCCTGACTTGAAACCATTCTCATCTGCTTCAGAACAGCAAATGTTGAAGCATGGATGTCTGGCTTGTACAAGATCCTGTGCCTGGCTGGGCTACTCAGACCAGCAGTTAAAACTGGTTTGAATATTTCATCTTACAATAGTATGATTTTAAATGCTACATGAAGTGGGGAAATGCTAACAGATTATGATAAATTCTCACTGCTCCTAAACACTTAGAAGTTTTGCTGGACTGAGTAAAAATGTAACATTGCAGATCCAGTTTGGGAGATAAAAAGCAGGCCCAATGCCATTTAAGGAATTTTCCCAGTAAGGCAGAGTGTTATGATCCTGTCTATGATCAAGGATATACCCAAGGAATTTGAGTATTGAGAACAAGGTATTAAGGTAGAAATGGAAGTCTCTTTATGTTGGTACCTTGTGTGTAACAGCGAGTTTGCATGGGTGCAGCTGTGTTGGTTTAAGAAAGGAGCATATGCACACAGGGATACTCAGGAAAGTGGTATGAATTAACCAGAAGTGTGACCATTAAGAATTTCAATAAAAACACATAAAATCAGTGCTTGGATAGCTATGTTTAGAAGAACAGTGCCCTTAACCTGAAGCAACTTCATAGATAAGAAACAGAGATGTCTCCTTCACAGACAACATGAACCTCAAAAGTTTGATAATTGCTCATTTCTTCTAGAACTTCTGGTTGCCTTGGTGTTGAGGAATACTATGAAACTGTCAGCAGCAGGAGGCCCATAGCTTCCTTCAAACAGCAGGATCCTTATTGCCAGAGAGAGTTGTATGTGCTTGGCTTTCTGTGAAATATTGTGAAACCTTTTGACAGTTTATTGGTGTCAGATTTAGTTAATACAGACGGGATTTATCTTCTGGGAAATAGATGCCTTGGTATATCTAGAAATAGTGTTGCTGAGCCACAGGATGTTCATACCTGGATTAGAAAAAAATCATCATATGTTACAGTTAGCTGGGTTGAGGAGTTTGGTTCTGCTGATGTTATTCATACATCTGATCTCATTTTCTAATGGTTTTCTGCTAGGAAATGATAAAAAGTTTATTCTTATTCTGAAAAGTGTAAATTAATATTATTCTAGAGGAAATGTGGTAGAGTTATTTGGAGATGTATAATTGATGTAACTTTACTTGCAGTTATGCGTATAGGCCTTGAGAGAAGGCTGGAGAATGTAAACACTTGTATTGAGGATTATTCTTCTGTGTTTTATGCTTTCAATAGACGGACTAGATCTAGTCTAACTCTTCAAGCTCTATGACATGGGCAGCAATGATTGCTTCTGTATCTCTCTTAGACACTTCCCCCTTCTACTACTGCATAATGCTGCATTGCAGGAAAACTGTAATGGTAAGGCGAAGCGGAGGGCTGATCACAAACAAAGATAAATGTGTTTCCATTGATTTATGAAAAAAACTGCTGTTTTATTTTCAGAGCAGGATGAAGCCTACTCACAAGGGAAGTAATAAGAATGTTCTTTCTGTAAGACAGTGATGCTGAAATTGTAAATTCTAGTGTATGGATTCCAGTTTTACTGCTGCATTAATAATTCAGAAGTAATCTATATCTTGTTCGAAATATGCACCTTTGTTCAAAGTAAAGGTAGGTATAGGTCTGTGGGATGATATCTGCAGATTCAGGCTTATATGAGAAATTATTTGCCCTGACAAAATAATGGTGAATATCACTTTTTACTACTATACTATGTTATTTTCTTTTCAAAAGATGAAATATCTCTCATTATATACATTTTTTGACAAAGATTTTTGTCTTCCCTCTTCAAATCCTGAATAATGATGGCAGCAAATGCTGATATGTATCAACAAAGAGCAGTATTGGACATGACCAAAGTAGATGTATGACTAAGAATTTTGTCCTGTATTTCTGTGCCAGAACTTCCATTCAAGTCTGTGGAGAACCCCCACTTCCAGGATTGTCTTTTAGAAGATTTAAAGTGCTTTTTATATCCAGCAAGGCTTCCAGAAGAAAGCATGTTAACATTTTTTCACCAATGCTTGGGCAAAAATAAACTGGAAATGAAGTTTTTAAAACTAAAATATTTGAATGAAAAGAAATAAGTAGATGGAAGTCACACATTTTGATTTGGAAATGTTACTCTGTTGACTGCTGTGGGCTGGATTCTTTGCCTGATGTGCTCCCTGACATGCCACAGCTGCTGACCTACGCTGGGTGCTGCAGTGCAGCACAGGGCTTTCATGGGATGCCATGTATCATGAAATGCTGAACCAGGAACTCTGTGAATACAGGAAGGCAAAGACCTGAAGAGCCTGCAGAGGAACCACAGTGTTATTTTCAGATGTTTCACTTTTTGTAGGGAGACAAAGTCTCCTTTGTGTGGGAGAGAAGTGCTGCTTGAGACACTCATCTTACTTAAACTACTGCATTTTTCTGTCAAGAAGCTTTTCTGCTGAAAATTTCAGGCAGACATGTCCATGGTTTAGGGTGCTTTACTCAAGTATATGCTGCCAAGATACATGCATTCCCACAGAAGACTCTGCTCTCCTTCCTGCAGCTCCTGATCTGCTTCACACTCGCTGCAACTCAGTGTTAAGTGTAGCCAAAAGTACAATACGAACAGAATGGCAATTCCAGCTTTTCATTTCCTTTCTATTTCCTGAATTTCTACCACTTCATATCAATTCTTGCAGCTCTTTTTATTAGAGTTTGACAGAAAAAAAAAGTCAAAAGAATCCTTCAGTCTATTTGATTCTTATTTTCTTTATCCCCAGATGCTGGATGCAAACCAACAATGGGAAATAAAGGAAGCAATAGAGTGGGTCACTAAACCATCTGAGTTTAAATCCTTGTGGATTAGGGAGCTAACTTTTTCAGATGAGGATATGCATATCCAGATGGGACATGCAACAATTTCAATGGTTGAAGAGTTATTTTTTTTTATTTCAATAATGATATAGTGACTCCAGTCAGTACTGTTGTGTAATTTTGATACTGCTCCTTCACATAAGCAGAGTTCAGGTTGAAGTAGTTATTCAGAGTACCATTAAATGTATTTGCTACAGGACCTTGACACACATTCTGCACCTGTATTCCCTTAAGTTTGAAGAAGTAGTTTGTTTCTAAAAAAATACCTAAAAGGACTGTAATGCCTGCATGAGCAAGACAGACAACATTTAGTATGAAATCTGAATGGACTTTTTTTTTTTTTTAAATGTGTAGTTTCTGGTGAAATTGAAAGTTCGGTTCAGAATTTGTGCTCCCAACACACTATACTTAGCAGCACTGTTAAAACCCCAGATGTACAGTATGTGCATTTCTTCCTTGCTCTACACACCCTGCTGTATAATTCTTTACATTGCTTATGGAGCTAAGAAAGCAGGAAAAAAGAAATCAATATAAAGTTTTATAATGTGTGTTACATTTTCTATAAAATGAGTAGAAAACAGTGTGCTCAATCAACTGTTTTTCTGTCCTTTATGCTACTGAGTAACTTCATTGGGAATTAAAAAACAGAAGCAAGTCTTGAATGTTAGTTATTTCCTTTCAGACGTCAGCACTGATAGGAACTGGTGTGGCAACCAGAGAGCATACGAGTGTTATGTGTAAGTGCTTTGGGCTTTTTCCTAATTACTTGGTATCTATTAAAACTCTTTTCTGCCAGGATTGCCTCCTTCCACCTTATCTCCCTGGTTCTTTTCTTCCCACAAATGATTTCTGTGAACAACCTGGAAGTATCTCATTTTCTAAATTACTATTAGGATAGTAACTGCTAACATTTTCTATTCTGACAGCTGTGAGAAATATGAAAGAATGCATTCATGATCATGATTGCTCATATGAAAGGTAGAGAAGCAAGGCACAGAGAGTAAATTCATGCTGCTCCATGAAGCACACTGCGACTCCTTGAGACAACTTGAAGCTGTCTGGAACATCTGTGCAGGGCAGTGTAGGCTGGACAATGCAGTCTGTACAGAGCTGTAGGGC